TAGATGTGGTGCTGAAAGAGTTTGTCATAGAGATTGTGGCCCATGATAGGAAACAATGAGCATTTTATGTGGGTAAATGAATCCTCCTTCAAATGGTGTCAAGGAGTAGCCAATATGGTTCCCTCCCAATGTTGGACTACAACTTTTATCATCCTGTACTGTTGTCTGCTGGCTAGGGCTGATGAGAGTTGCAGTTCGATAGCATCTGAAGGGCTACCCCCAAGAAATGGATATTACTGAGCCACAAGATATTGTTTGTGTTAATTAACCATAGTTCTAAATCAAGCAAATGGTGGTTTGGGGAATATTTGAGGCGCATCATTAGGAGTGGGTGGAATAGAAGATAATCTTCAGGAAGAGGCGGGAGCCTATTTTTAATGGTTAAGACTCAATCACATTTCTTAAAACTTTACTATTTTAGTCAATGCAGTTAAACTTTATTCCACCCCAAGATGATCTCAAACTTATCTGTGAATAATTGGGTGCATCACATTCTCTTTTGTTATCAGTGAATACAAGTTACATTGTTCCAATTGAGGCTGGGCAAATTGCCAAGGAAGGCTATTTTCATTAAGACATCGATAAACCAAGCAGTGCACACCAATTGGCCCACTGCAAATTGGTGATTAACCTAACAGTTAGATGGGCCTTTGTGAGTGCAGCCTTATTAATCAAGCATCAGTTGGGTTAATCAAGATACCAAAAGTAATTTGTTGGAATAAATATTTTATTGCCATTAATAAAGCAAAAGGGAATATCTTAATGAATTTCCTTCTAATAACATTCAAGCTGTGGACTCCCCACCCCCACCCCCTTTAATATCTACATTTGCAGGATTTAATATTTGCCATTGGGTAGGGAAGTCATTCAGTGAGCACAACTTGCTCAAACATCAGTCACCCATCTAATTACTGGTGTGTCTGATTTCTTCAACTAAGTATTAGTGGACATAAACTCTGTTTATAAGGAATGTGTTCTGGGTTTCTCTCTCTCTCCCTTTCTGGTAAGTTGGGAATTGGAGTCCATGGTGGCAGTGGGGAAAGGACACACTTAAATGGCCAATTCAGAAGATGAAATCTATGTATAGAACTTTTGCAAGGTCGATGTTCCATGTCATGTCAATATCATCTGCAACTGACAACTACAACTACAAATGCTGAATCACTTTCAATTAGGAATTTTGTAGGCCAAGATCAACATGCAAAGAGAAAACACAGTTCAAACAATGATCCTTTTATCAAACAGGTCTAAGTAATTATTTAGTAGCATAAAGCATACCAAACCTTCATGTCCCCTGCTCTGAGTATATGGAAATTACTCAGGGCACTAAGTGCTTAATGCTTTCTTGAACTGACTCATTGTCCTTCAAGCTGAGAAGAGTATTATTTTAGGGAAAATATATTTGTTCAGACAAATCTTGGCATTGCTATGTAGAAAGAGATTTGTATAATATGTTTGAATCCTCGGATTGTCTGTTATATTTGCCTTCATGTGATTTTATCCTGTGTAGTGCCCTGAAACCTGGTGAGTATAGAGCAGTATACAATTTTTACAACTACTACTACTACTAATGTTTTTCTTTTACTTTTTGTTATAGGTTGTAGTTTTGTTCTTGTTTAAATGATTTATTGTTTGTTTGCTTTTTAGACTGTACACTACATAGAGATTTTTGAAATATTATAAATAAATAAAAACAAGTCAAACTCTTGAGTAGATCCATTGAGGTCAATGAATTTAAATTCAAACTTAAGTCCATTGGTTTTAGTGGGCCATCCCTGAATATGACTTAGGCTACAATCCCCACCCTTACAGGCCTAGGTATAAGCCCCACTGAATTCAGTAGGACTTCATTCTGATTAGAAAGTGTTAGGATTGCGCTATTAGTCTCCTACAACCCAAGATTAGCACTCTGTGAGAACACTCAGAGCTGTTCTGCCTTTGGATTTTTTTATCACATATCTAGGGCACTCTCTTCTAACAAGTATTGTTTGCCCAGAGACAAGGCTTCTTTTCTTGGCTGCAGCTAAGGAAACATTTTGTCATTGTTGGAAGACAAACAACTAGATTCCCTAAGCTCTTGTCCTGAAGCACATATGACAGTGGTATAAGGTTAAGTGAGTTTTTAGAATACCGCCTTATTCAAAATATTGTCACAATGTGTCTGGTTCATCCCTTAGGATTCTGAAAGTATTTGAGATAGTTTCCAAAATCCATCCGTAAGAATTTTCTGGAGCTTATGAATCACATCAGAACATGGCATTTGCAACTAAGTTAAATGCCTGAAACAATGAGTGTTTGAAATCTGTTATATAATACCTGCATGTAGCAGACAGTTTTGAAATAATGCTAAACACTTATTGAGGTCAAGTACCTCTCAAGTTGGTTTTGCTTTCCATTCCTTTCTGAAGATACTGGCTGCAGATGTTTGAATCCACCCACCCACTGCAGCCATGAGGACAAGAAAAAGAAAAGTTATAGTTCACAGAAAGTTTTGCCCTAGATTCCAAATCAAACACCTGTC